TATGTTCCTTCTACGCCTAGTGTGTTGACAGTTTTTAACATGCAGGATGTCGAATTTTATCAAATGCTTTTTCGTGATCTATTGAGATGATCATATGGTTTTTCTCTTTCATTTTGTTGATGTGATGAAGTATGTTTACTTGTTTATGTATTTTGAACCAACTTTGCTTCTTAGATGTGTCATTTGATTATGGTGTATTATATTTGTCATATACTGTTGGATTTGGCTTGAAAGTATTTTAAAAAAAATATGTGAAGTACAATTCAGGGTTAGGCATGCAAATGTTCATTATGCAGGTACCCTTGTTGACGAGTCATGTCCCCCTTCCCATGCAGTTTCTCACTACTGCCAATCCTGCCCCCACCCTCCCCTAGCAGTTTCCCACTATTGCCAATCCCTTTCTTATAGTATTACAATAGCTGTTCAAGGTCTGCTTATGAGTGAGAACATATGATGCTTGGCTCTTTGTTTCTGTGATAGATCACTCAGTATTATAATCCCTAAGTTCATCCACGTTGCTGCAAAGTTCCTAATTTTGTCCTTCTTTAAGATTACATAATATTCCATAGTGTATATATGTACCACATTTTTAAAATATATTTTTTATTTTAAAGTTGTGGGATACGGTTAAGGGTTAGGTATACTGATATTCATTTTGCAGGTACCCTTGTTGATGAGGTGTGCCCCCCTTTCCCCAGACAGATATTGACTACTGTTAATCCCACCTCCCTTCCCCTTCCTGTCCCCCCCATAGTTTCCTGCCACTGTCAATCCTTTTCTTATGGTATTACGGTAGTTGTTCAAGGCCCACTTATGAGTGAGAACATGTGATGCTCAGATCTTTGTCTCTGTGAGAGATCACTCAGTATTTTAAACTCTAATTCCATCCAGGTTGCTGCAAAATTCATGATTTTGTTCTTTTTTATGACTGCATAATATTCCATTGTGTCTATGTACCACATTTTAAAAATTCATTCCTCTTTTGATGGATAGCATGGTTAGTTCCATGATCTTGCTATTGTGAACAATACTGCGATAAAATACGTGTGCAGGTATTTTTTTTATAGAGTGATTTGAGTTCTTCAGGGTATATTCCCAGCAGGGGGATTATGGGGTCATATGGGAGGTCGATATTTAGAACTTTTAGGAACCATCCCACTGATTTCCACAGAGGCTGTGCTAGTTTACACTCCCACCAACAGTGTAGAAGTGTTCCCTTTTCACCACATCCTCTCCAGCATCTGTTATTTTTTGAGTTATTGATAATGGTCATTCTGACTGGAGTTAGGTGGTATCTTAGTGTAGTTTTAATTTGCATCTCCTTGATGACTAGTGAGTGAGGTTGAACTTTTCTTCATGTATCTGTTGGTTGCTCGTATGTCTTCTTTTGAGAAGTGTCCGTTCATAGCTTTTGCCCACCTTATAATGGGGTTGTTTGTTTTTTTCTTTTCAGCACGTTTGAGTTCCTTATAGATCCTTGATGTTAGGCCTTTATCAGACATGGAGTTGGCAAATACTTTTTTCCAGTCTGTGGGCTGTCTCCCTGCTCTCTTGGAGGTTTCTTTGGCTTTGCAGAAGCTTCTCAGTTTAATGAGGTCCCACTTGTCTATCTTATCTCTTATGGCCTGTGGGTTTGGGGTTTTGTTTAGGAATTGAATGCCAGTTCCAATTTCCATAAGGGTGTGTCCCGCATTTTCTAAGGTTCTTATGGTTTGAGGTTTTACATTTAGGTCTCTGATCCATTTGGAGTTAATTTTTGTGTATGGGGATAGATAGGGGTCTTGTTTGAGTCTTCTGCATGTGGTCAGCCAGTTTTCCCAGCACCATGTACTGAATAGGTTCTCCTCTCCCCAGTGGTGAGTGGTGGAGGATTTGTTGAAGATGAGTTGGTTGAGAAATTGAAGTTTTGCTTCTGGAATCTCAATTCTATTCCATTAGTCTGTACGTCTGTTCTTGTACCAATACTAGGCTGTTTTGATTATTGTAGCTTTATAACTAAGTTTAAAGTCTGGTAGTGTGATACCTCTTGCTTTGTTTTTTTTGTTGTTGTTGTTGAGGATTGTTCTGGCTATTCTTGGTCGTTTGTGTTTCCATATGAATTCCTGTATTGTTTTTTCTAGATCTGAGAAGAATGTTGCTGGTAATTTGATGGGTATTGCATTAAATCTGTAGATTGCCTTAGGTAAGATGGACATCTTCACAATGTTGATTCTTTCAATCCACGAGCATGGGATATTTTTCCACTTGTTTGTTCATCTTTGATTTCTTTGGGCAGTGTTTTGTAGTTTCATAAAAAGCACAATCCCATTCACAATAGCCACACAAAAAAATGAAATACCTTGGCATCTTTCTAACCAGAGATGTACCACATTTTAAAAAATCCCGTCCTCTTTCAATGGGCAGCACTGTTGGTTCCATATTTTTGCTACTGTGAATAATGCTGCAATAAATATGCGTGTATAGGTATCTTTTTCATAGAGTGATTTGAGTTCCCTTGGGTATATTCCCAGCAGGGGGATTGTGGGGGCATATGGAAGGTCGATTTTTAGATCTTTTAGAAATTGCCACACTGTTTTCCACAGAGGTTGTACTAGTTTACACTCCCACCAAAAGTGTAGAAGTGTTCCCTTTACACCACATCCTCTCTGGCCTCTGTTGCTTTTTGAGTTATTGATGTTGGCCATCCTGATTGGAGTTAGGTGGTATCTCAGTGTGGTTTTAATTTGCATTTTTTTGATGACTAGTGAGGCTGAGCATTTTTTCATGTATCTGTTGGCTACTCATATATCTTCTTTTGAAAAGTGTCCATTCATATCTTTTGCCCACTTTGCAATGGGCTTTTTTTTTTTTTTTTTTTGGCACATTTGAGTTCCTTGTAGATCCTAGATGTTAGGTCTTTGTCAGATATACAGTTGAAAAATGTTTTTTCTTAGTCTGTGGGCTGTCTCCCCACTCTCTCGATGGTTTCTTTGACTTTGCAAAAGCTTGCCAGTTTGATGAGATCCCACTTGTCTGTCTTATCTCTTATGGCCTGGGCACTTGAGGTTTTGATCACAAATTGGTTGCCAGTTCCAATTTCGTAAGGAGGTCTCCTGCATTTTCTAAGGTTCTTATAGTTTGATCTTTTGCATTTAGATCTTTTATCCATTTAGAGTTGATTTTTGTGTATGGTGGTCAGTGGGGTCTTGTTTTAATCTTCTGTGTGTGGTCAACCAGTTTTCCTAGCACCATTTACTGAACATGTTCTCCTCTCCCCAGTGGTTGATTTGAATAACTTAGAAGACTGCTGTGATTGATCCAGAAAGGTGGGAATGTACATTGGCCATCATGGGGATATTGTCATCAGATTTCTGTTCGTCTAGTGTCATTACACGTCTTTCCCTAAAAGTGTCAAGCACTTCAGCATCTCCCTTTAATTATATATTATTTTGTAATAATGAATTTATCTAAAAGGTTTTCCTAAGTAATGGATTTTCTAAGTAATTGGCATAAAACAAATTATACTCTGATTTTTGATCTGTTCAAAAGTAATTAACGGGTATTGTAAATATTCATTCATGGAATACAGGAATTGAAATGTTGATTGCTATCATATGCACTTGAATTTATAGAATCCAATTTGATATTGAATTATTAGAGTAAACAGATGTTTATTTTTCTAAAATTGTATTATAAGTCTCTTTATTAGGTAATTCACTATTTTCATGTATTTGATTTCCATGGAAAATCTGGTGTATTTTTAGAAAAGAGGACTTTTGAGAGATGTATGTATCATAATAAACACTTCTGGTTTTTTTTTTAGTTTTCCCCACAGCAGAGTTAAAAAGATATCACATATTTTCCATTAGAATAATGAAGGATTAACTACATAGTTCCTACAGTTTATGCATGAGACACAGGAAGAAGGAAATGGGGGGGGTGTCATGAGAAAATTAAAATGCAAAGAACTATGGGATGACTGGAAGAGTTAAGGTCCCTTCCCAAACTCCGTTAACTGGAGGTCTCAGATGTGAAAGTTAAGGGAATGGGCTTTATTTAGTGCTCTGTCACAATTCTGGTGTATGGTGGTACAAAAAATGATAGAGGCACAGGACTTTATAAATCATTTACTACAATTTATCTAGAGACAAGCCATGACATGGAGGAGACAAGTGAAGGCCACACATACAAACCAGGATTAGAATCCAATTCCCCTTGGCAAGTCTGGGCTTCTTTCTGTTGTAGGGGAGTCAGAGATCACCTCCACCCCCCTTTTTGCTCTAGTGGGCTCTTCAGCTGGATATGGAAACCAAATTGGCACCAGGAATATTAATGAGATAAAAGTATACAACGGCATTGGTTTTACATGTACATGGGGATCTTCATAAGTATGAAGTCTGAGGAAGTGACCAAAGCAAGATGCTTTCATAGTTTTTAGACAAAGAACAGTAAATTTGAAATGAAATGACAGGACAAAGAAAAGCTGGCTAGGGCAGTAAACATATTCTAGGGGACTCACTAGGAGATATAAGAGAGGGCGAAATATAAGAATTACTTCATTAAGTATATTTATTCAGGTCCATTGCAGCCTCCAATTCCAAGTCTCTTTAGATAAGGGCTATTTTCTTGCCTTAGTTTGGTGAGAGTACCTCTCCAGCTTGCTGCATACAGGAAGAGAAGGGTCAGCTCATCTTTTCTGAAACGACAATTTCTCCAATGTTTTCCACTCGAAATAATCAATATACCAATCTGGCATATTTGGGGTTGGTAAGTCCTTCACTTCTTCATTAGAGAAGTCACTGTCTCTTAAATGATACATGTTTTCTCTACGTCTCTATTTTCTCATTTATAAAATAAACACAATGGACATGAACTTTTGTGAGGTTCATAACAGTTGCAGAATTTTCTGCATTTATTCATTTTGTGCCACTAAATGCACATTATATGGCATCAATAGCTCATGCAGTTAAAAGTATAGAGATCTGTAATGCGAAGTGAAGAAATTGAGATGGGATTCATCGTTAGGAGTCAGGACACACTTTATTTCTGACAGGCTTTTGTTCTTTTTGGCAGATCCATCCAATTTCTGAATCACATTTCTCAGAATAAATATATTTTTGTGAAATGTAAACACAATAGTTTTCTTCAACTTTACCTTTAATTTTTAATCTGGGGAGCAAAAGAAAAGTTTCTTTCAGTGTTTAGGGTTTTCTCAGAATTATGCTCATATAGTCACTATTTTCTAGGATTTTCATAAAATAGTGAAATGCTGATTATTAAGCATAGTAATCACACAGTCACAAATATAACAGTATAAACTTTTAAGAGAAAGCTTATTTAGATCTCTGGAACTTTCAAGTTCAAATTCATCTTCATTGGAAATAAATCCTTCGAACAAGAAATTCATAATGATAATTTTTTTTTTAAAGAGAAGCTTTGGAAACGGGATTAAATCTTCTTATTCTACTACTAACAGATCATATGAAAAGTTTCTTATCTTCACTGAGCCTCCATTTAAAAAATATGTAGATTACAGCCACATCTTGGGAAGGCATTGAAGTGATACATATGAAATGAGACAACACTTAAACAAAGTATGTACTCAGTAAATGTGATAAATACTTAGAGGCATGGTGGATATGCAGGGTCTATAAAATTTAGAAGCAGTGAGGAAAAGAAGCTCAGTTCATGGGTTATGTAACCAGAGGTTCCTTTTATTCTCACTCCAAGCAGAGGACAGTAGGTGTCTCTGTCAATATAATAATAGTTTCAGACAATCATAAATCCTGTGACTCACTGCAGGTGTATGTGGGGAACAAAATTCATACAATGGGCTAGGCAATATTAGGGTTGGATTGCAAGGATAAGCTGAGCTGGTGGAAGTGGGCAGGACTCCATCATGGCTGCTTTTCTTTGTTCCTTTGTTCTAATTTTTCATGCAGCCTTTGGGTTTGAGCTGCATGTCTGACTTTTTCCACTGCCCTACATTCTTGTCAAACCATGAACTTCTTTTAATTGGACTATTGCAAGAGTTTCCTATAGCCTACCTCTTCTACTCTTCTAATTCCTTCTTCAATTTTCAGGATAATTTTGTAATGTTAATCTGGCTACATCAATGTCTCCCTTTCCAAAGGTCCCTCAGTGGTCTTCCAGATATTCCTTGATGAGATATCTGGCTAGTTCTCTAACATTATGCTGTTTAATCTCCAAAACAATCCTGTGAAAAAAGATTATTCTTCTTCCTCACTTTTTTTTTCTTGCCTGAAAACCAGGGTTCAGAGAGTTCAAATGAAAGCAGAGTCTAACAGATGTTCTTTCCACTATAACATGATACCTTTCAGGTTTACCTGATCACTACCATCTTAATCAAAGCAGTGTTTTACTTCTCAGAATAAAATGGGAGGTGTGACTGAGTCTCATCCAACTACTTCACATATATTTCTGTTCATATGTTAATGTTTTTAATTTTATCTTTACTGTGAACCACAACGGAATAAAAATTTTATGTTATGGTCCAAATAAGAAACACACACACATAAGTATATTTACTAAATCAAAACTAACACTTACTATGTAGAAAAAAATAAAAATCAGATAATAGCAAACATACTTTCATTTATTTGTAAATAAAATAGAAAACAATCCCCAGAAAGCATTATAAAAAATGAGGAGGGATGTTATTAAACAGAATGGGCATATTTGCCTTTTCCCAAGTTTATTCTAGTTTAGAACATTTATTTTTAAATAATCTTCATTTTAAAGTCTCACATTTTAAAATGTGGCTCAAATGATGTCAAAATTTGGCAAATAAGCCAACATTTCTTTCAGTGTTTAATACTTTCCATATCTAATAAATTATCACCATATTTTAGATAGACTTGAACATGCCCTTGTGTTTTAAATTTCAACCCTTTTTATAAGAATAAAAAAGATATTTTGTTGAAAATTATGCAAAAGTGATTAAGTAATTCACAGACTCATTAAATATAATTCTCAATATAATCTGTTTTGAAAAATTCTTTGAAAGATCTTTATAGAAACTCAGTTGAATATCTACACACTTTTGTTTATCAGGAGAAAAAAATACCCTGCCCTTGTTATACAATTACAGCTATTGAGTTCTGCTATAATATGAAGTTTAAATGTATAGCATCAGCCCTCTTATTCCATTGATGGTTATTTGATCATCTTACACAAGAAACAATAATGAAACAACAAAGAAAAAAACAGCACATGACTGTTTTGTGGCTTATACATACACACCTTAAAAAAAATCTGTCTTTTTCACACCACTGGTTAAAATACACCACAATATTTGTAATAGTGTGGGTAGTTCCTCATAAGTATTTGGGTTCCACACTCTGATATTTACTTTTTCTCCTTTTATAATTATTCTTTCAATGTTGACTGTGACTCACTAAATTGGTCTCATGATCCACTAAGGTATGTTTTCCCGTAGTTTGAAAAACACTTCTTAAAAAATTCTGTGTGCCAATAGCTTCCAGTTAGACATTATTTTTAACTTAATGTGCCCCTTCAAAATGAGTTAGTCTGGTCTTTGTTCCTTAAAACTCCATTGCAGACAATATATATTCTTATAAAGGTCTGATGTCTTTTTATATATGAAACTTTTTAACCAATTTCAGAATCATCCATCTTCTCAGCCTATTCTAAGCCTCTTGAATTTCTAAAACAAATTAAAATTATAAAACTCAACATCCAACAACTTTACTACTTTACAATATAAGTCTCATTTAATACTCACATATTAGAATTTAAAAAGGAGCCATTTATCCACTTCCAGTTTTTCTCTGATAATGCAAAATTCAATCCAATCCAAAACAGAAATTCTTTGTTTATCTGATTCTGTATGAGTGTCTATACATGGAACAGAAGAAATTACTGAATATTGAATCAGTTTATCCATGGTTTGTACCTTCTATTTGTCTCCTAAAGCCTAATATAAGCATTACTCCCTCTCTGACATCTTCTCCAACTCCTCATCAGTGTTAATTATTTTTTATATTTCTACATATTTTTATTTCTACTGTTGTATTTATTACCTTAAATACAATTATTTTCTAATATATCTTTGTTTAGTTTCTCAAACTGTGAGTTTCTTGAAGTCAAAGTCATTTCCAGTGTATAAAACCTTTGGGCTAATGCCCAGAGATCTTGATATGGGTTAAAGAAAGTGCTAAATTTTGTTAAGGTATTTTATGTAATGATTTACCAATTCTTCCTGGTCTTGAATAAGCAGCAGACTGGATTCTTTTGTGGAACAGTCAGTTAGACTATTTTTCCAAGAGGATGAAGTGAATGAAAAAAACAAACATTTCTCTTGGAGTTGGTGCCATTGTTTTGGACACTTTAACTGATTTGATCTCTCTAAGAAACAGAAAGAAGGAATAAATAAGTACTATATTTCTAAACTGTCCTTACCACATCACACCAATCACATGCACTCAAGACAGTATAAATGCTCAGAAGCCTTTCATTATTTCTGTGAGAACAATATATGTATTATAATTTTGAGGTTTTTCAGTCCTACTGTTCATTCTGGTATCAAGAATTGAGAATTAGTGACCAGTTATATTGAGCATAATTGGAGTCATAGCATATTTAAATAGGAAAATACTATTAAAATAATTTAAACAGCTACATCCTACATTTTAAGATGCTGAGAGACAGAATAACTTGTTCAAGTTCATCCAACTAGATGTGGTAGAGTCAAGACTATTTCTCAGTTTCCTTAAATTCACCACCAGTGCTTATTCCATTACATAGACAACAATCTCAAACTCATCTAAAAAGTGCTGGCATTAAGTAACATTCAAAATGCGAAGCAAATAGCAATTCATTTCACTAAATTAATGAGAAATGCCATGGAGAATAAATTACAAGAAAATTTCTAATTGCTAAATGATATATTTGCCTATTTCATGCAATCTATTGAGTGCATTTTTCAGAAGAGTTTTTCAGGTTTCTTAAAATTTCTGTTCTGTGAGAATGAGCTCACAGATCACATTCTGGTTACAGTCACTTAATAGTGGTTGCCCTATTAACACACATTTTTATTAACATACACTCAAGATTAAGATTGCTACATGTTGAAAAAATATGATAAATAGTAAAGAATTCATTCTATGTTTTGATGTATATTATCTTCAGACTAAACTTAGCTGTTCATTAAAATAATCAAATATTTTACTTAAAGGCGTATTTTACTTTTTAACTTGATATTTTGCTATTAATAATTGAATATCCTAGCAGAGGCTTCATAAGACAGCATGCCCTGGTGGTTAACATCACAGACTCTGAAGTCAGATGACCCAAGTACAATTCCTGGTATCATCACTTACCATTTGTGTCACCCTTAGCAAGTTACTTAATGTTTCTATGCCTCAGTTCTCTCAAACACAAAACAACAGGGTTATAACAATATTTTAAAATATGGATTGTTGTCTTAACTAAGGTCATACATGGTGTGTATCAAACATTAACTGTTAATTCTTAGAAAATTCAAGTCACAAAATTACCTGTTGTTTCGCTCCTGTTCTGTTGAACACTCTGAGCACTTTTTTCAATTGATAATTTTTGCATTAAGGATATCACTAGTAAATAAGAAAAAAATCATTAAAAGGATTAAATACTGAAATGTGTGGTGGAATTGGATGTGTTATATTTATCACTTTGGGAAACTGTGTTATCTCAACAAGCTTGATTATGGACAGATGATAAAGGCATTAGCACTGGTAACAAAGGGTCTAGTTTCAAGACTGCATACATGAACAAACAAGAAAAAAACATTTCAAGTGGACTCACATAGAGAGTAGCTTACCTGTTAATTACTATATAAGTCAATCTAAGGATCTAAGTCAATCTAAACTTTTAAATTGCTTATACTCTCTGCTGAACTTTCTCATCTTCAAAATGAGTATAATTATTCCTATTTCAAGTGAGAGATTGTCTACTTCAACCTGGAATTTAGTAGGCACTTAAAGTAAATAATTGAAATTTTTACTTTTCCTTCTCCTTCTTTCTTGGAAAGCATGTGTAATACCTAATGATAACTCTCAGAGCAATTAAGAAAATGTTAAAGGCTGAAGTCTTTACAGTGAATATGACTGAATATTAGGAGCATTGTTTTCTAACTTTTCATTTCATTGGTCTTTCACTAAGTTTGGCGTCACCAAATTATGTTAAGATGCTCTGATACTTATGATGGAAGTAGAGTAAATATTCTGAAACATGATCGTGCCTTACTTACCTAAAACACTCAATCCAATCACAGTCAAGACAAGAAGAATAATCCCAGCACAGACAAGTTTCAGAGCAAATTGATGCCAAGGTGGACCCTGACAGGCATCTGAGAAGTTAAATATATGTACTTGGTTAACTCAGTTGAATATATCTGGTACAAAAGGCAAATGTGGTTTTGATAACATATGAACAACTAGATTCAGCTTGGGGGCTGAGGGCAAGAAAGAACCTCTATCAACCATCCTCAAAGTAGAGTTCCACAAGATGTATTCTCTAAGAGTTTGCTCAGTGATAAATTGGGACTACTTGTGCATATCTTGTGTATAAAAGACTGGTATGAAAATCAAATGAGATAGATGGGGAGATGTTTTGAAAATTGCCACGTGCCCTACAAAAATGAAGTTCATGTCCTGATGTAGGAAGTAAGTCAAAGCATTTTTTCTAAGAAGATAGACTTGTTCATGATCTATTTTGAGACTCTCTTTTGTGCCAAGCACCATGTTAGGTGCTTGTGATAGGCAAAAAATTCTGTTTTTGAACATGGAATACTCTGCTTTATTGTTGTTTAGAACAATTATCTTCAACTTGGATGAAATGTATGGCATTCAAGAAAGAATGTTTTGTGAGATTGCATATTTTTTTAGTATTACAACTAATGTAATATAACATGGTCTTTTGTCTACAATATTGCATAGTCTAAACAAAATGTCAGGTATCTTTGCTTTTCTCTATAATCATAACAATTATTATATAATGTATATCTATCTTAAGTTCACCAGAAGATTTGGTAGTGTTAATTAATAAAAATGTTACCATAAATGAATCACAACTTTATCAATTTATTTTCATTTTAGTCATCTTTAATACATGAATTTTATAGGGAAAAATAATAAAAATAAATTTTTTTATCAATATTTTTTATTATGATGTTGTGGGGTACAGTTAAGGGTTAGGTATACAATTACGTTTCATTCAGGCACCCTGTTGATAAGAGGTGTTTCCCCGTCCCCAGACAGATATTTGCTACTGTTAATCCCATCTCCCTCCCCCCATAGTTTCCCAGTACCGTCAGTCATTTTCTTATAGTATTACATTGGATGTTCAAGGTCCATCATATGAGTGAGAACATGTGATACTCGGATCTTTGTTTCTGTGAGAAGTCACTCAGTATTATAGACTATAGTTCCATCCAGGTTGCTGCAAAATTCATGATTTTGTTCTTTTTATGGCTGCGTAGTATTCCATCGTGTATATGTACCACATTTTTTAAATCCAGTCCTCTTTTGATGGGCAGCATGGTTGTTTCCAGGTTCTTGCTATTGTGAACAACGCTGTGATAAACATACGTATGCAGGTATCTTTTTTTTTTTGGGTGATTTGAGTTCTTCAGGATATATTCCCAGTAGGGGGATTGTGGGGTCATATGGGAGGTTGATATTTAGAGCTTTTAGGAATTGCCACACTGCTTTCCACAGGGGTTGCACTAGTTTGCACTCCCACCAACAGTGTAGAAGTAATAAACTTGTTTTTAAATAATATTTTGAAAAAAAGCTAGGCTATAGCTTCCAAAATTAAATCAGCTCTGTCAAGGAATGATTCTGGTAGTATATGCCTCAGTTTCACTGTTCAAAATTGTGCTTACATAGTTCCTATAGCTCTGATTTAATTACAAGACTCATTTTGCTCCTATTTAGCTTGTAACATGCTAGATATGTTATAATTGTAAAGTATTTTCTAAATTATATTACTCGAGCCAAGAGTTTTTATTAGTAAAACTTTTCTGATTTACCTGCAGCTACTGTTTTTGGTTTATTTACATTATACAGAGGGTACCAAAAATGCATACACATTTTAAGAAAGAAAAAAAAATTAAAATTGTAATAATCAGTAAGATGAATACAAGTCACATTTTACTTCTGCAATTACAAGAGGTACTCAAAGTGGTTATCAGCAGAGTCCAGACGCTTCTGATTACTGCGAACATCTCTTAATATCTCTTAAAATGTGTGTACATTTTTGGCACACCCAGTATATTCCTTTTTCTGTTTTTTTCTAATATTTCTCAGTGTAGATGGAAACTTGTTTTGAGTTACATGTCAAACATGTTAGAATCAGATAGGCTACGTATTGTCTTTTATTCTTAGGATATGTTCCAGAATGCCCTATAGAGCTGTTTCTACTTTTTACATTTTGTATATTACCCCTGAAGATTAAGTTTTGCAACCCAGTTTGCACACCTAATTGATTCTCATGTAAAGATGCTGACATTCATATAAGGAATCTCTCTAAACTATCCTAAGGAGATTGTATGTGATCAAAGATTATGGAAGGAAACAGAAATACATTAGAATCAAGGTAGTGCTATGTGTGTTATCATCTGGTACTAGTTAGGATATGTTGTATCAGTGGAAGCAAAGGGAGGAGTAGATATCCAGAGACGACCCCAGAGCCCCAGGTATATATATCTGAATATGAGGAAATCAGCTTTGGTAATGCTGGACTAGAGCTTCTAATGAGAGCTAGAGTTACTGAAGATTGGTTAAACCCAGTCAGTGAGCCCAAGACATCACTAAGATGTTTTTCCTTCCAGTTTTACATATGTACATTGTTTCACCTTTTTGTCTTTTCTCTTCCTCACACTTTCCTTTTTTAAAATTTCAAGTTTGTTGCAAAGTAGAGAAAGTTCCATTTATGCACTGTTTTAATTACTCAAGTAATTTATTATTAAAATCAGTTCAGTAATTTCTATTAGTAAAGCCTAACATTGATTAAGAACAGAGTCTTCGCCTAAGAACAAAACACTGTGAAATGGCAGGCTTGTGGTCTTGATGGTGGTCTGCTTGATCCTTTGAATGCATGCCTAAAGACCATGACATCCTTAGAATGCATGCTTAGAAACCATGACAGTTAATGGGGGGTTGTGGAGACAGAAGAAAACAGATCTCTGAACAGATTTCAACTTGTGTCTGTGAATATGAGTTGAAGTTTTTGGTATCTCTTAATGTTATTGATTAAACCATACTGCTTTTATGTATCCAGGATATTAATTTATGCTTAAAATTTTTCTTTTAAATATAGATTTTCTTACCTTAAAAAAAAGAACAGAGTCTTAAAATCTAGCAGATAGATCTGAATTTGAATATGTTATTTGGGCAATATGTCCAACCTTCAAAAACCATAAATCTCCCCATCTGTAAGATGTGGAATAATATCAACATTCCAAGATTTTGTAGAGAATTATATGAAACAATTTTTTTTAAATGCTAGGCATAGTGTCTGGTATGTGGTAACTACTCAATAAACAATGGTTTTTGTTGTTATGAAAGTTTTTTTGGCTATAAGTAAAAGGCAATTTGATGACTTTTAAAAGCTATTATTCATGCATGCTAAAACCTAAGAATTTGAGTGGAGCGTCCACATGCCTGGGAGGAATGCTCTCCTGTACTCTTTCTGTTGCATGGCATGAGATTAGAGTTAACAGAGTTACAATAGATTACTGAACTTTAGTTACCTGGAAAACACCTACTAAGGGCTGTTCCTTGCTTGGGTAAAAATAACATGTTAAGTCATATCACTTCATTGTTCTAACATCTTCAGTGGTTTTTAATCAAGCAGCTCTGAGTCTACAAAATAGCTCAGACATCCCTATTCAACTTGGACCCTGTTCTTTGCCTTCTCCATCTAATCTTTGTACATACACTCTGCATGCATACTCCCACAGCATGACCTGTATGTTCTCAAGGTTTTTGCACTTGTTGGTCCTACTTCCTAGAAGGTTCTTCTCTCAGAGACTATGCCTTTGTCTCTCACTTATATATTTTTTTTAGAGTTGGAGTCTCACTCCGTCGCCAGACTGGAGTGCAGTGGCTGCTCCTGGCCACCGCAGCCTCGACCTGCTGGGCTCCGGCGATCCTTCCGCCTCAGCCTTCCGAGTAGCTGGAACTACAGGCGCGCGCTACCACGCCTGGCTGATTTTTGACTTATTGTAGAGATGAGGTCTCGCCAAGTTGCCCAGGCGGGTCTTGAACCCGCGGGCTCAGGCAATCCACTCACCTCAGCCTCCCAAACCACGGGATTACAGGCTGAGCCACTGAGCCTGGCTGTCTCTCACTTCTTTGACATTCAGTTGTCATCTTCTCAGAGTACCTTCCATGATTAATTCTGTTTGATATGGCATCCTCTCCAAAAGCTAAATCCCTAATTCCATTAATTTTTTTTTCAGTAGCACAGATACCACTCTATATTTCATACATACTTAGTCATTTGTTTATTTTATTGATTGTGTGCCTTTATGATAATATAAACTCTGTGAAGAAAAAGATTTTTACTTTATTCACTGCAGTATTCTTAGCATACCAGACACATAGTACGTGCTTATTTTTAAATAAATGAGCAAACTCTAGATTCATCTTGCAAATACTTTACTTTTATAGCAGGACAAAATTTGGCCATTTGATCATAAAAAAATAGGTTATCACTCACTCACATCTCTCTTTCTAATTTTGCTGACTGCCTTAAATACAATCACTGTGCTACACAGTCACAGTGGCCTGAGCCGTTTAGCCAGAGTCCAGTAGTGGCTTATAATCACTGTAATACCAGATCAGTGTTTTGTAGTCACACATTTTGCTCTGACTTTAATCTATTGTTATTTTTTCTTTAAGATTTACTTTCAGGATGATATTTTGTAGGGCAATAATTACAATCCTAGTAGACAAATTTTTGGACCCATTTGAATTGGGGTCATAGTTGCATCTGGAAAAGGTCTCACTATCTTACTCTGTATTCATTTTCTGACACTTGCTTTCAGCATTGTTTCTCCCCCTACTTTTGCTAGATCTGAATAGAGAAAAAGAAAAATTTGTTATTTTCTATTAAAAAAATAACTAGCACAACTAGATCCTCCCTGTAGTTATCAAAATTCTTAAATTTCCTCTTACCCTTATATGAAGACTAGAGAGAAAAATATTTGATGCCCTTAATTAAGACTTTATACTTGACTTAATACTTTGATAATTTAATAGTTGTAAACTTATAACAAACAGTCCAAAAAAACAGGTACAGTTCACATACTCGGCACACGTGGAATGAAATATCAGACTGGAAAACAATTGTTATATTATCAACGTCAGTAAATTCAGTTAGATTTTAGAAGATAATACTGCATCATACTAAATTTATACTTATTTTCTGCACACAAATTAGCACACAGAAAAGTGCCAATTTCAACAAATGTCAAATAGATCCATTGCTTATATGTTCCAGTGCCTTGTGGCTTACCTTCTTCTAAGTTGTGATACTTTCAAATTAAAAACTATCAAGTTGTAATGATATCCAAGTCCTTTATCCTGAAAATTATTTTCTCTCAGAAAATTTCCCCATACCTTTGGAGAGTGGATTAATGGAGAGCTCACATTAAGCCTGCACTTTGTGTTGTGAAAGGAATGTTATGGAAACAAAAGCACTGGTACTTAATCAGAGATTGATGTTTTGCAAAGGGATTTAGAATAAGGCAGGCTGCTATTACAGCAAGTTTGCGATGTGTCTTTTAAAATATTCCTTAGTTCATATATATAAAATATTGTATTTCAGTGTCTTACTAAGTTCAGTAGGAGAGGTGATGTTTACTTTTATGCTGTCTTAATAAGAAATAAATTTATGAGGTTTCTAATTTTTTCCAAAGTTGTGATTATCTACAGGCAAACTAGACTCTACCTATTAAACACTGGTATAAAGCTGCTGCTCATCTTCAAAGCAGTAACCTAAAGCCGTAAGTGAAAGAGGAACATGTAAGTCACAAATGCCAAAAGGAAAATTAAAGTCACTTACCCTGAGGATGAGATGGAGGTGATGAACTTTCAAGGCCTGAATCTCTGGATAACTTTAAATCAGCGTATACCACTTGTCTGTCCATTGCAGATGGGAGAACGTGGCACTAAACTTGTGTATAAGAACAAACTCCCAATTCTACCAGGTGAAATCAGTAAAAGGAAGTGTTCTGCCTGAAAAACTTTGTTGTACCACCCACGTTTCTAGTTGTGGGTTTTCTCCATAAATTATAGAGAAAACACACTTATCGTGTGTTCATTAACTTAGATACCTTATATCTACTTTCCTTAATTAATTGGTCTGTTTTTTGCCAAAATTCTGGGGAAGGCTGGTTTGCTCTTGTTCCTCTAACTATGCCTTTTGACTTCCTCTCTCAGGGCCTGGACTAGGGTGAGGCTATGATGCACTCACCTAGGATTCAAATTTAAGGTGGCTCCAAGAAACCCCAGTGATTAAGATATGTAGGCTGCACTTGGTGGCTCATGCCTGCGGTCCCAGCACTTTGGGAGCTGGAGGTGAGAGGATTGCCTGAACCCAGGGGTTCAAGTCCAGTCTGGGCAACTTGGCAAAACTTGTCTCTTAAAAAAAAAAATTTATCTGTGTGTGATGGTGTGCATCTGTGGTTCCAGTTACTTGGAAGGTTGAGGTGGCAGGATTCCAGCTACATGGAAGGCTGGGGTGGAAGGATAACCTGAGCCCAGGAGGCCGAGGCTGCAGTGGCCGTGAGCATGTCACTGTACTTACGACTGAAAAAATAAAAAATTGAAAACTGCTAGAATTACAGAAAGTAAGTGAAGTTTATGAAATTTCTATTTTTTTCAAGGATTTTCAAGCATAGAACCTTAGAGCCAAACTTTAGATGCCATCAAGTCTTACATTCTCATTTTACAGATGAAAAAGAGCAAAATCTGAGATTTCCTAAAAGTCGCTTTCTATGATTGGAATAGAATTGTATCAAGTGCTCAAAATTACTTGACAGTGGAAGCAGTCTCTTGATTTGGAATTCAGAATATAGGAGATGTTTATTCATAAAAAAAATTTTCATTGTTTGTCTTTCGTGGGGGCAAATACTTAAGCCCTAAAGGTCACTGATAATTATAATTATAAGGTGAGATATGCATGAGAGTTTTGCAGTCTACTTCTTAGTGATTCCAATAAAATGTTTGTCAATTGTCTGACTATATAATGGCTAATAATCATTTTATTGGTCCCAAGATATTTGGTTCTGCCATATGCTTAATCTAAATTTTTAGAACACACGATCTGTCAGAATTATGAAAGTGTATCCCAAGTCATCTGAATAGAATTATTATTTATATTTATAGAACTATTCATATGCTTTAGTATATATAAACTTCAGTGTAGATGAGGATCTCAAGTTATAGTGTATGTATAAGAATCACTTGAAAACTTGTTATCAACACACATTGCTGCCACATACACCCTCTCTCTTCCAAAAATACAGTTAGCTTAAGGTTTGGAATGTGCTAAAAATTACCCCAGATATTTCAGGTGGTTGATGGGCAACACGTAAATAAACAATCATGTATTAAGTGAAAAGTGTGGGGACATATTGGAATAGTCAAGAGAGTGAACGTAATTCTGATGATGTAATCAGGAGGTTGTGATAGTGCTTTAGTGAAGTTAACTTCAAGTTCGGAAGCATGACTGTGGCTACGAGGAATCCACAATGGCAATATAAAAAATAATTAATTTGAGATAAGGTGTTCCCTTCCAGCATTTGCAAAAGTATAAACTAGCTACAAATATCAACCAAAAAAGAGTCTTCATTTGTCCATATGTAGTGTGAAACATATTTGTAGATCATTTTGCTTGTTACAGAACATGGAGAGCAGCAACCAACCAACAGCACAATTAGCTTGTATCACACAAGATTCTTGTTATACAATTATTAAGTGTATGTATGTGTATATCAATATATACACATGTGTATACACACATGTACATATATACACACATGTACATATGTGTATCTATATACACACATGTACATATGTGTATCTATATACACACATATATGTGTGTATATAGATATAATAAAACCCTCATAAAAATTCACACCTGATAATTTTTTCTATTTGTTCTAGAACATTCATTTGATCAGCAATCACCTGAATAACATTTTTATAGCAAAATGTATCAGAATCCAAGAACATCTTATCATCATAAAATATAAATTTAGACAAGTATTGACATATTGAATACACACACACATACACACACACACAATATGATTTGCAAGCTAAAAATTTCAAAGGGTGAATGATTATGAGTAACCCTGAGATTTGAAATGTAGTAATAGTGGAGGTAATATTAAGTAGCTCAGGGGAAAATAAAGATGGATTTTTTTTCTAGATCATCTACTTTTGACATTGAACTTTGCCAGGTTAATAGTGGGAATTGACGTGGACAGAAAAATAGATAAATTAAAAAACAATGTTACTCTTGAATGGTGAAGATGCAAAATAGAGGTCAGGAGATGGCCACAACAAGAAGTGACAAGAGAGTAATTTTGCTCAAGAAGCCAAAAATGCAAGAGTCAGAAAATGCTAATCATGAGCTAAGAGAATCCATTCTAGGTTTACAAATCCAGAAAAGGGGAGAGTGGGTGGTGTGTGACATCAACAAGATGGCAGAATAGGAAACTACAAGACCTCCTTCCCCCACAGAATCACTGCCTTAATAAATTACAGACCAGAATACCTCTGTGACAACTCTAGAGACTGGTTGAGAAGCTGTAGTACCAGCCCATTGTAAAACCAAGAAACGATTCCAAAGAAAGGGGTAGAAACATTGTGACATTTTGCATGTCCATTCATGCCCTTCCTTTATGCATCATACTGTGAAGCACTCTATACAGGACGTCTTCCTCCTGATGAAAGCAAAAGAGTGAACCATGTAGCCAAAGTTCTGGCTTGTCTTAGGGCTGCCTGAGGAATTGGTCTTGCCTGACTCAGAATGCTGATGGTGCTAGAGTTTGGAAGCAGAGGCAAGCAGCCTGTTAGAATTGCAGTTTCATAGACTCTTCTGAAAAGAGGCCACACAAACAGCCACCAAACATAGGAAAAAATGTTCAACACTACTAATCATCAAATAAATGCAAATCAAACCACAATGAGTTACCATTTCACACCAACCAGAATAGCCTTTATTAAAAGGTCAAAAAACAACAGATGTTGGTGAGGCAGTGGAGAGACAGGAATGCTCATATACTGTTGATTGGAAAGTAAGCTAGTTCATTTCCTGTGGAAAACAATTGGGAGATTTCTCAAAGAACTAAAAATAGATCTACCATTTGACCCATCATTCCCACTACTGGGCATATACACAAAGGAGCATAAGCCATTCTACCAAAAAGATTCCTGTGTTTGTATATCATCATAGTATTTGCAATAGCGAAGACATGGAACTAACCCATCAACACCGGTGCCCATCAACAGTGGATTGGATAGAGAATATGTGGTACATATACAACACGAGTACTATGCAGTCATAAAAAAGAATGAAATCGTGTCATTTGCAGCAACATGGATGCAGTCAGAGGTTATCATTTTAAGTGAATTATCACAGAAACAGAAAACTGAATACTGCATCTTCTTACCCAAGTGGGAACTAAACACTGGGTACACACGACCACAGGATGGAAACAACAGCCACTGGGACTGCCAATGGGGAAAAGAGGAAAGTGAGAATAAGGGGTGATAAATCAATGATTGAGTGTCAAGTTCACGGCTGGAGAGTGGAGACTGGGGCGGGAGTGGGGTCATCAGGAGCCCATATCTTGCTATCATGCAATATACTTATGTAACAAATCTTCACATATACCCCTTCATTCTAAAATAAAATAAGATAAATGTAAAAAAAAAATTCTTAAAGAACAAATGGGTCAAAAAGTAAGCCATGATGGATATTTAAAAATATCTTGAACATGAAAATGAAAACACAACATACCAAAACTTGTGGGATGCAGCACAAACAGTGCTAAGGGAATTTTATAGTTGTAAATGCATAATATAAAATAGAAGAAAAATGTCAGTGAATGACCTAACTTTACATCCCCAAACTGGAAAAGAGCAAAACAAAACTCAAACTCAGCAGAAGCAAATTCAGCAGAAGCAAATATTAGAGCAGGGATAAAATAGAAGATAAAAATAATGGGAAAAATCAGTAACTCTGGTAAATCCTTAGATAAATTAACTAAGAAAACAATACAGAAGTTTCAAGTAATGGAAATTAGAAATAAAAAAAGAGATATTACAAGTGATACCACAGAAATAAAAAGGATTATAAGAATACTATGAACAAAGTATGCCAACACATTGGATAACCTAAAAGAAAGGTACAAATTCCTGGAAATACACAACCTACAGAGACTGACTCATGAAGATATTGAAAATCTGAAGAGATCAATAACTAGTATGGAGATTGAATCAGTACTAAAGACACCCTAAAAAGAAAGCCCTGGACCCTGGATCAAATGGCTTCATTGGAGAATCCTACTAAGCATTTTTTTTTAATGACCACCAAATTTCCTGAAACTCTTCTACAAAACTGAAGGGGAAGGAGCACTTCCAAGTTTATTCTATCAGACCAAACTTATCCTTATACCAAGCTAGGCACAGATACTGCAAGGAAGGAAAACTACAGATCAATATTTCTGATAAATGTGAATGCAACCATTCTCAAAAATAATACTAGCAAAACAAATTAAATAACATATTAAAAGGATCACATGTTATGATCAAATGGAATTTACTCCTTGAATGCAAGGATGGGTCCGTATATGAAAATCAGTGTAATACACCACATTAACAGAACAAAGGATAAAAATCACATGATCATCTCAATCGATGCAGACACCATGTGACAAGACTAAACACCCTCTCATGATAAAACATTCAACAAACTAGGAAAAGAAGGACACTCCATTGATATAATGAAGATCATCTATGAAAAGTTCACAGATAACATTGTATACAATGATAAAAGACTGAAAGTTTTTTCTTTAAAATTAGAGACAAGACAAGGGTGCTCAATCTCACTACTTCTATTCAACTTCTGTAC